AAACGCAGCCCCCTGCCTGTGCTCGCGTGTTAATAGCGAGTCAGTCGGAAGGGGAGGAAATAGCAGTGTGATTAAGTCACCAAGCACTTCAGGGCTGCAGAGGGGGCTGGAATCACACATCTGGGGTGACAGGCAGACTCCAGACATCCCGGGCAAGCTGAGCCCAGAGCAGACTCATCCCTTCAATAACTGAGGGGCAACTTATATGGTCCAGGTCTGCGTCTGGAGTTTGGCAGCTGTATCTTACGGGAAGAGTGTACCCGGAATATCTTTAAAAAATGCAAAAAATAACTTCCCAGTTGTTGATGTGAAATGTCCTTATGACTCCACCTGCAAAGCCAACCTCTTTGTTGGAGCTGCTGGTTCGATCCTAGACTGGTGAGGGACAGGAGATGGTGGCGGGGAGACATCACTCTGAGCCGTTTTAGTTGACGCAGATGTCTGTCTACAGCCATTTGACAGCAGGGTCGAGTCAAATTTTTCCAACAACAATTTTTTTCCCCTGTACTTAGAGGTCAGTTACGAGAGAGCGTCATTCAAATTGCTAAGATCCTTTATATAGAATCAGAGAAATGAGCAGAAATAGCTGAGGTAAAACAATTAAGTGTAGTATAAGTGGCTCTTACCACAAATTTTTCAGTCTTTGGAAATCTGCCTTCCTCTAGAGGTGGGATGAAGACTTCTAATGCTGAAATTTCCCATAAAGAACATTTTGGGGGAAAGGAAATTGAACAAACTTTTTTTTCTTACAAGGTCAAGAATGTCCATTTCAATTTGCTGTTTTCAAAATACTTCCTGATACAAAATGTGCCCTTTTCAACATAGTTCAAAATGGAAAAAAAAAAATCACATTTGTGAAAAGTCATAAAGAGCTATTCTGAGATTGCTGGAACTAGTTGACAAAGTTTGATCCTTAGAGTAGTTTTGGTGAAATCAGTAATTGTTTAACATACTCAGAAAATCTACCTTTCCAGTGGAAAATAGTTCCTATCAGCACTTTCCCAGCTAATTTTAATCTTAGTAACAACTACCTCTTATCTACCTCTACCTAATTTCCTAACCTCATCTGTCAACTTGACAAAAGTATGACATGCAAGAACAAAAGCACTTATTTCATGTGTTCTGTTTGGGCTTTCAGTACTGCAAGGAGATATACAAATAAAAATGTTGTTTTCTCTGCAGTCTTTAATACATTCGGTTCCTACATATCAAGTTGTGTTGTTTTTTTTTTTTTGTCTTAGCAAAACTTAAATTGCAGTCTTATGGTCATTGCTATCCACAGTGTGTGAAACACTTGATGGGCAAAATAGGACTTTTCAAATTTTATATATATATATTTATTATATTATATAAATTTATATATACATATGTATTTAAGAAGCAGTGAATTTATATGTGTCTCTATCTTTTGCGCACGTTTGCTAAGTACAGCCCCCCTTCCAGCGAATGCTTTTTGTAAAGAATAAAGTCTTACCATTGTTGGTTTCTAATAGAGCTATCCTGGGCATTTTCTTCAAATAGCGCAGAAGCAGACACTGGACTAGACAAACCCACTGGCTACTCATGGCAGGTTAATACCTGAAGCGTGATCGGTCTCTAGCAAGTAGCTGCTTCTGCTTCATGCACCAAGCGGCTGCAGCAGGCGCTGCTCGGCCCCAGCATTAGTCCCTGAGGCTCTGCTGCTCCGTTCAGCCATCGGGACTACAATTCCTGGGCTCCGTTCCTGAGATCCTATTGCAAAATACGTAAGAGATGCAAAGGGGATACAAGTCTACTGATTTCTGCAACTTTATCAGTAAAGTAGTTTGCCTAGAATTTTTTTTAATGTAGGCATTATCATGGGTATCATCATGAAATATGGGTATTTTCTAGTGCAATCTTTTTTTTTTCCCCTTATTTGGCCTCTGCATATTATTATTTATGAATGTTTATAAGCATGTACACGTGAAAGAAACTTTTAAGATGAAATAGCTTTGATTGCACTGGAAAAAGATCCAAGAGGGTCACAGAGATGCCAAGCCGAAGCAATCTTTTAATGAAAGCAGGAGACAGGCAGCGATTACCTTCTTCTCGTCTGTAGAAGAGCTTTAGTTTAAAAGTTTAACTTTATCCCCTTAACTCCATGGGACCTTCAGTTGTACCTGTCATAGGCCCCCAAAGCAGTCAACAGCCCTCAGGACCCAGGGCTCAGTTTTTGGATAACTGTTTGCCAGTGGGAATGCAGGGAGATGCTCCACCTAAATGTCCTGTTTCCTTTTGCTTCCTCCTGACAGGCGCCAAGTTCCCTATTAAGTGGACAGCACCGGAGGCCATTAACTTCGGAGTTTTCACTATCAAATCTGACGTGTGGTCTTTTGGGATTCTTCTAACAGAAATCATAACCTATGGCAGGATCCCATACCCAGGTACAGTGCACTGCAAATTTGGGCTGAGCACAGATGAGCTTCAAAGCATGTAATGATGCTTCATGCTTGGATGCGCATACACATGTGGGTACCAGTACCCATATATCTAGACACACACCCCTTCCTCTTCATGTGGGATCTCCTCTCCCAGACTCCCACAAACCTTAGACATACCTGAGCTGGGTGAAGGCTGCAGAGGAAGGTCGGGGATGGAGGAGAGGGCTGGAAGGGAGACCGCAACCCTACAGAAGGGATCATTCCAAGACTGGCCCTGTTGCTGGACTGGATGTGAGCCGGGCATCGTCCCTGTGGCACCGAATAACTCCTGTGGGGCTGTCTTTCTCCCTAGGGATGACGAACCCCGAGGTGATTCGCAACCTGGAGCGTGGCTACCGCATGCCTTGCCCAGACATGTGCCCTGGCGAACTCTACAACATCATCCTGAAATGCTGGCGAAACAGACCTGAGGAGCGCCCCACCTTCGAATACCTGCAGTCGGTCCTTGAAGACTTTTACACTGCCACGGAGAAGCAGTATGAGCCAGAGCCTCAGCAGTAATCAAGGTCCCACCAGTGCCTGGGGAGCAAGATGGAGGAAAGCCACCAGCCCACATGGCCCAGCCTGTCTCCTGCCAGCGGTGGCTCTTTTGTGGCCCTGCTACTACATGATGCATTTGGAGATGAGGAAGAGGAGGGACATGAGGGAGGTGGATGCTGCCAGCTCCGTTGTTTTCCTGGAGACTAACAAGAAAGGTGGCTAAGAGCCAGCACAGCTCCTTCCCCATCAGCTTTGACGGTCTGTGCCCATATCATAGTCATTGCCTGTTACCATGATGGAGGGCAGACTCTTTTGTGAAAAGCTCCTTCCCACCACCCAACTGTGGTCCCCCTGCCCTGG